CCTGACTACTCCTTCATGGGAACGGGAATCCGACCTTGATCTATTCCGTCGACACATCCTCTTGTACTGATCCCGGGAGACCTGCCAATGCAAGCAGGGTAACCGTACATATCGAGTGGCTCGGACTCGCGCGGCACAGCGGGAGCTAGCCCGGAATCGTGGAGAACGCTATTTGCCTCCTGGGGCTGATCTTGTGCTTAATGCGACTTGGCTTCGCCGTTTCAGCACTTCGCCCCTCCCTGTTGGCGCGCGACTGTGGTACAAGGCCCGTGATGGATTGTGGTGGACCGGACGCATTGATGCTCATCAGGGTGGCTCGTACATCGTTCGATTTTTGGATGACCCAGGCCCAAGCGTTCTGCCTCTGCCTGCGCATCTCTACTCCACTGCATTGGACGCCGTCTGCGGATCATGGTGTTTAGAGAAACATCGTTCGCGCCCTCTGGGCGACAACCGTGGTCACACTCCGCTCCTTGCTGACTCCTTACCGTCGGCTGTTCCCGCCGTTTCTTCTTAGCGTCGTCGTTTATATATACCAATCGGCCTATTTTGGTCTTTTGTGCCATCCTTCTCGCCGACGTTTTGCTTTTGTTTTGTTTTTTTTCTGTCACCTTCCGTTTTGTTATTTTCTGTTTTGTTTTTCTGTGTTGTCCCTTTTCTTTCCTTGGCTTATTTTGTTTTGAACGCTGGGGCAACGCCGCCTCAAGACACGCAGTGTCGAGTGATCCTTCTTCCTTGTTGCCTGCATTCTTTTTGAGTTTCGTCACCGTGTTTTGGACTCGCTCGGGTAGTCACCCTCATTCATTCCTCCAGCGGTGATACGCGCCGGTGCGCGTAAAAGGGTGGTGTGTGGCGTCTGGATATTGATTTTTTTTCCTGTCGTCGTCTGTTCAGGATGATAGCGTGCTGTGCCGCAATACATATTCTTCGTAGCTCTATCCCTTCAAGCGTTGTCATTGAGATGTCGATGTTCCGTCTCGTGACCGTTCGCATTCTTCATCTCAATGATGGTGTGGGGGATTGATTCGGGATATTACTACAACTCACCCTCCTTTTGGGTGTTTTGTGAAGAGTCATATCTTCGATTCATAATCATAAATCATCAACTAAAATCTTAATTATGCTTTAGGCTAGGATTTGAGCATTGATTTGAGTATAGAATCTGCATATATGATATTCAGGGTGGGCTAGTGTTAAGGAGTGTGGCTGCTAGCATGAATAGGGTACATCTTATTCTTGATAGGATGCGGGTCGGTCAGGAGGTATACCCTTCTGACCCCTACTCCCTTAGAATCGTCTACTCTGTGTACCCCCTGAGATGACGTTGGATCCCCACTTCATCCCAGACCTTTGCTGGTCGTCTCTCAGCAATAACAAGCAACTTTCCCATCTCAACGTGGTGGTGGACAAGCGTGTCAACGACAGGACCTTCATCTATCTCTAGGAGCAAGCCACCGCCCACGGCTTCACTCCTTGGAACTTGCATGTTTGGAGCGAACTCATCGGCATGGGTTGCGTTGTGTGTGGGTCTGCTGCCGTTTTTATGTCTTTAGTGTTTTCTTTTTTGGGGGGGGAGGGATTCATCATATTTCCGTGTGCGGCTTGCATGCTTCGAGCGAACCCGTCGGAGGGGGTGGCCTTGTATGTGGGTTTGCTGCCTTTTTTCTTGTCTTACATTTTTCTTTTTCGTGTGTGTGTCTTTTTTTTTGGGGGTCGGGGGGAATAGTTTATATTTGCATCGGGGGCTTGCGTGTTTGGAGCGAACTCATCGGCATGGATGGGTGGCGTTGTGTGTGGGTTTGCTGCCATTTTTCTTGTCTTGAAAGCGTGTGGGGATGTTTGTGGCGGCGGGGAGTTACGGATATTTCCACGGCCAAAATCTTGGCCGACTTCGGCGGTGGCCACGCACAGAATGAACGGGCGTAGCGGCTTGCTATACCCTCTTTATGTGTTGTGTTGTTCTTGTTCACGCCTTCTCCACA